GCCTCCTCGAGTCGCTCTGGGACAAGTACTGGGTGCACACGCTCTGCTCCTCCAGTTTGTTGACGGTGAGTTTCTGTTTTCTATTTTGTTCAGTTTCTAAATCTCTTTTTTAGANTACTACAGCCTGGAGGTGTCCTACTTCAAGTCCGCCCTTGATAATCGCCTCCTCGAGTCGCTCTGGGACAAGTACTGGGTGCACACGCTCTGCTCCTCCAGTTTGTTGACGGTGAGTTTCTGTTTTCTATTTTGTTCAGTTTCTAAATCTCTTTTTTAGAACAACGACTACACCACCGGACAGATCAAAGACCTGAGCGACAAGATCGAGAACTGCGAGTCGAGTGTCAGCCGCGTCGGTTTTGCCGCCTACCACGGCGACGGCGGCATCGGCAGCAGCGGCGACTCGCGCGCCAAGGAGGACAAACTGTCCAAGGCGGAGAAGGACAGCTCGAAGATTACCATCGAGTCGATTCACGGGCTGATGTCACAGGTGCTCAAGGTGACGCTCTTTAACCGAAAGGGAGGCGGCGGTAATGGGAACAATGCCATTGCCAACTGAGGAAGTTGTTTTTTTCTATTTCTCTTTTCACACTTTGTATCATATGTATCTTCTTGAGCAAAATTCTATTTGCTCCAAGTATTTTAATTTCTGATAAAAAATAAAACAAGCTTTCAGTTTATAAATAATAGAAAAGGGTAGTTTTTGCTTAGTCACCGAAATCAGACGCCTTAGACCGTCTTCGGCAGTGAGAGACCCTAAGATCTCTCACTGCCTCCGGTGGAAACCGCGAATGTTTCACAAGAAAGTCTCATCACAGCTTCGGTGAGAAGAAAAGTGGCAGAGGGTGATTTTTTGGTTCGATGATTCGAACCTCAGACCTTTTGCCTTAAGCGCAAGTGGACTGATCCACTGCGCCGTCAGTAGCAGTATGCCTGTACTGCAGAGCGGTGAGTGCCTCTTAAGGATACTGTTGCGCTCTTTTTGAAAAAGGAGATTTTTTCTAAATGGAAAACAAATGTTCGTTACAGATGAGGATGAGGGTGATAAGAGAATTTTGGAGGGCTGTACCAGAAAGTAGAAAACTGCAAGGTCAGAAAGACCATTTTCTTTTTCCTTTTCCAAATTACTTTTTTCTATCCTCATCATCGCACCTAATTTTCGATCAGCAGCTATTGAATTTCCTATGTTTACCACAATTAATTGCTGCTAGCTTGTTGTTTGTTTGTTTGTCTGTTTGTTCGCCTCCGTCGCAAGATTCCATTAGCTCTCCGAACGGTCGTTCATTATCTCATCTCAACAAGCAAAAAACTCTTGACAGAGCTAACTACTAATACTTGGTACTTTAGGCACTGCACACACTGGAGATATCTGCAGTGAAATAGACAGAGAGGATACCGACAAACGAGAAAGAACAAAATGATGACTTTGTCCTTGACTGCCACTATCGTCCACCGCTGGATACGGTCTTTTCGTGCACCACAGACATCCCAACGTTTTTGGTTGCTCAGTGGAAGTAGGCCGCGCCTTTCTGTCTGCCAGCCGCTGGCTCATCCACTACTACCACCACAGATAACTGTTGCCATCTCAGCAGCAAAGCTGCTAATGCAGATAACAGAAGCACTCATGTTGGCGTAGGCGAGTTGATATAAAATGCTGTCCACAA